CCCCATTCCCTCCCTCCCTCCTTCCCGTCCCTTCCCCCGTCCCCCTCCCGCGCGGCGGCAGTGGCAGCGGCAGCCCCCCCGCGCCCCCCCGGGAAGCGCGGCTCCGCGCGCGCGGGCGGGCGGCAGGTAAGCGCGAGCCCTTTCCCCCTCCTCCCCGCACCCCTCCCGCGCCGCGGCCGGGCCGCCGCTGCGCTGCGCGCGCGCGCTCTCCCTCGCACGCCCCCTCCCTCCTCCTCCTCCTCCTCCTCCCTCTGCCATCCCTCCCCCGCTCGCCGCCGCCGTTACAGCCCCGGCAGCGCGCGCTGGGTGAGATGGCGCTGCCGCGGGCGCGCCCGCCGCCAGCAGCCCCGGCGCCGCCGCGCGCCTGCCTCCCGCGGGCGAGGGGAGGGCCGGCGGGAGGGGGAGGAGGAGGAGGAGGAAGAGGACGCGTCCAGCGGCGGATGCGCACGCTGGGGCGCGCGGGTCCCGCGCGGCGGCGGCGGCCGCCGCAACAAAGGGGCGCGCGGCCGCGTCCAGGCGGCGGGAGCCGCGCGAGAACCGTTGGAGCGGGGGAGGGAGAGAGGGAGGCACGGACGGACGGACGGAAGGAAGGAAGGAGGGAGCGGGGCGCCGTCCCCGCGCAGCCCCGTGAGGCGGCGCGGCGGGAGCGCCGGGCTCGCTCCGGAGAGCGGCCGCCTGGCGCTCGCGGGCGGCCGGTCCCCGCCGGGAACCCGCCTGCGCCGCGCCCGCGGGTGCCTGGAGCGGGCGTGCGCCTCCGCGGCCACGGGCACGGCGGCCGCGAGAGCCGGCGAGGGGAGGCACCGAGCGCGTCCCGGGCAGTCACAGCCCCGAAAACACCTCCGTGCGGCCCTTGCGGAGGTAGCGGCCGTGTAAAAAGCGTGTGGAGGAATAAATCTGAATTGCCCAGTGGAATAAGTAACCAGAGCTTTCTTAAATCAGAGCTGGAAACGCTCTGGGCAAGTGCCTGACCTGCTCCATTCGCAAAGGAGTAACTTTGTTCTTTGCCAGTTACACACCCTTGTATACTCCGCAGCCCTGTTTTCAGCCAATTACTTCTATAATTAGTTCTCTCTTAGTGTCGACAGAATTGCAGTAAAACTGCATGCTGTTTAACAGGACGGTGCAATTGCTGCTAGATTATTAGCAGTGACATTTTGCTGCTTGCTTAAAAAGAAAGCATTTTCCCATCTTGTGAAGAACTCTAAAAAGATCCCATTTAAATAGTTGTTTGTCCTACCATCTTCAATGCTGGACTGGTACATTTTCCTGGGCCAGCAGAACCAGACAGCCCGTGAATATATACAATATAAATATATACAATATAAATATATACAATATATATAATTTTTGTATATTTCAAGTATTTACAGACTTACTATCTAGCTATCTTAAAATTTGAATATTTAGGACTAAGAAAATAATTTTGGCCATCTTTTTTCACTTTATTTTAATTTTTCTGTGTAGCCAGGGACACTTTAGCAGAGGTGCCAGACCTGCAGAGCCAGGTGTTCCCATATTGTGTGGGACCAAGAGTTGCAAACCTGTCATACCTGTCATCTCCTGTTTCATATATGGTTACGGATAAATTAGAATTTAGGGAAGAAATTCCCAGGAGATCTGTGCCAGGTGGCACAGGATTTGTTCCAAAACAAGTATTAAATTTCCCTCCTCCTCACTATGTTTCCTGCTTTGGCACAATTAGATGTCTGTTGGGATTGAATAATTTGAAATTATGTGTCTTGCATTATCCTTCTGTTTTCTGGTATCTTCATAGTTTGGAAATCTGGTACACTTGTCCCTTTCCCTGGTCCTGGATGCGCATCCATCCCTGTCCCTGGTTTGCTGTCCTTGGGGTGTTTGGTCTGTCTGCCAGACCCTCTGCTAGGCTGGCTCAGCTCTCTGGTTCAGCAGAAGACAGATCACCTTCTTGATGGCTTGGTTGCTGCATTAATTGTGTGATTCCTGGGGAGGTTTTTCAGACCTTTAGATTTAGTGCAAAGTTAAGTAGCAGGAAAGTGGAACCAGGGAAATGCAATAGCCATAGGAAAGTTGGAGTAGTCCTCTACAGTTGCCTGTAGTGTCAGTGAAAAAATAACTGGGTATTTTAACAGTGTATTTTATCTAACTTTTAATAATTGAAAATGCTGTCTTTTAACACTCAAAATAATTTTTGGAATAGATATTATCATGTATTGAAATGTTATTGTCTTCCCATCTTTCAGGCTGAAGGTGGCCCATTCTGAGACTAATTTAATAATCATTTGCTTAGAAAACTTCCTGCATTGTTCATGGTAAGGTTTGCATTTGATATTTCAAAGTTAGTTTGTTGTGCTGACTTATTTAGAGTATTTCTTACACATTTTTAGTGTTAACATTTCCTTTAGCTATAATAATGACTTATGAGTGGGGTCATACATTTACTGAGAATTGGAGTTTTAAAGAGAAGGTTTTCAATTTTATGTAACTGAATCAATAAAGATTTGAATAATTGTAAATTGCATAACCTAAGAAAGACCTTTATACATTCACAGTTTTAAAATCAGTTTCAGAATAATGCTTTTAGCATATAACAGGGCTTTTGTGGTCATTTTATGCAAAAATAAAGTTGGGGGTGTTTTTTAATGATGGAAATTACTTAATCTCTTGGGATTTTGGGACTTAGATTGCTTTATAAAAGTTACAAAATTTTCCTGTTAATTTACAGGAGTTTTTCATCAGTATGTCTGAAACCATTAAATATAATGACGACGATCACAAAACTGTGTTCCTGAAAACATTGAATGAACAACGTTTGGAAGGAGAATTTTGTGACATTGCTATTGTGGTTGAAGATGTTAAGTTCAGAGCCCATAGGTGCGTGCTTGCTGCCTGCAGTACCTACTTCAAAAAGCTTTTCAAAAAACTTGAAGTTGATAGTTCGTCAGTAATAGAAATAGATTTTCTTCGTTCTGATATTTTTGAGGAAGTTCTCAATTACATGTATACCGCAAAGATTTCTGTTAAAAAAGAGGATGTAAACTTGATGATGTCTTCAGGCCAGATCCTCGGTATTCGGTTTCTTGATAAACTCTGCTCTCAAAAACGTGATGTATCTAGTCCTGAAGAAAACACGCAGTCCAAGAGCAAGTACTGTCTAAAAATGAACCGTTCTATGGGGGAACCCAATGATACCCAAGATGATGAGGTGGAAGAGATTGGAGATCATGACGACAGTCCATCAGACGTGACAGTGGAAGGCACTCCCCCAAGTCAGGAAGATGGTAAATCACCAACCACTACCCTGAGAGTGCAAGAGGCAATTCTGAAGGAGTTGGGAAGTGAAGAAGTTAGAAAAGTAAATTGCTATGGCCAAGAAGTAGAGCCTATGGAAACAACGGAATCTAAAGACTTAGGATCTCAGACTCCTCAGGCACTCACATTTAATGATGGCATAAGTGAAGTCAAAGATGAACAGACACCAGGATGGACCACAGCAGCCGGGGATATGAAGTTTGAGTACTTGCTTTATGGTCACAGGGAACACATTGTATGTCAGGCTTGTGGCAAGACCTTTTCTGATGAAGCACGTTTGAGAAAACATGAAAAACTACACACTGCAGACAGACCATTTGTTTGTGAAATGTGTACAAAGGGCTTCACCACGCAAGCTCATTTGAAAGAACACTTGAAAATACACACAGGTTACAAGCCTTACAGTTGTGAGGTGTGTGGGAAGTCTTTTATTCGTGCACCAGATCTAAAAAAGCATGAAAGAGTTCACAGTAATGAGAGGCCATTTGCATGCCATATGTGTGATAAAGCTTTCAAGCACAAGTCCCACCTCAAAGACCACGAAAGAAGGCACCGAGGAGAGAAACCTTTTGTCTGCAGTTCCTGCACTAAAGCATTTGCTAAGGCATCTGACCTAAAAAGGCATGAGAACAATATGCACAGTGAAAGAAAGCAAGTTACAGCAGCCAATTCCATCCAGAGTGAAACAGAACAGTTGCAGGCAGCAGCCATGGCTGCTGAAGCAGAGCAGCAATTAGAAACTATAGCCTGTAGTTAAAAACTAAAGCAGGAACTTCATCAGAAATAATATAAGAAATGAAATGGAGCAAAATCTGTTGCTGATATACATTTAGACTGAGAATCTTTTCAAGAAAGCATATTTTTAGAGGATTTGAATGTTACATAGGAATACATAGCGTCGCTTGGTTAGGATTTTAAAACATTTCAGAGATGGGTATTCTTAGAATGTGAAACAGTTTCGCTGTCACTAGCAGTATAATGCACTAATAACTGCTTTAATTTGAGAATGTGATCAAGTTCTCTATAGCAGGGATCATCACTGGCCGATGCTTTGCTTCATCCCGTATGGAATACTGAATACAATGTAAACATTGCAATCAGTGAGAATCAGTGAGTTATGTTTGAAAACACTGAGATCTCAAAAATCACAAACATGGAAAGAAAGGATTCGGTTTTCATAATTCTTAGGTGTTGTACCTACAGTTTTTTTTGAGAAGCATACATTGAGTTCCTAAGCTTTTTAATTCCTCCTTTTTTCACCTAATGTATGTTGGTACAACAGAGTGTAAAGGAGGATGGTAATCAAAATGAAATTGCTTCTTATTCCATTCCCTCAGATATCCTCCTATTTTTATAAAGGTGGCAAGTTTTAGTAAAATACTTGCATTCTTGAAAAATGCATTATTCACAGGGATTCTGGCTGGCAAAGCAGAAGTGTCATGGCATTCACCAGTCCCTTCTGTGGGCAAAAATGTCTGCCTCATTTGTTTTTATGTTCACTTTTATACAGTGCCCCAGAGGTGGGACTGGGCTGCAAAGGAAAAAGGGTGGAGCATGGAGGAGACACACTCCTTACTCAAACCCAGTAAAAATCAGTAAAAGCTAATACAGCCTGAGATGTTTTTTTATTATGCAACTTTCAGGTCATCTAACCTAGCACAGTGAAGGCAGAGGAGTATCTGCACAAGCAGGTGACCAGGTGTCACTGCCAGACTCCTGAAGCTGCAGCCAAGGGTGTCACATACCTGCCCTCAGCTCAGCTGGGGTTTGTGTTGTGGCTGATCATACAGCTCATAGGTCCTGTTCAAATTTAAAAGGTTCCACCTTTTGACACACCACCCCTCATTAAGAGGGAGACTTCAGTGAATGAGTTCTTTAAGAATTGATCCTGGGTGAGCATTCACTATTTGTCAGTTGCTTAGTCTATTTCTTTTAAAACCAGCTGGGGTACATACTGATAATAGTTAACTCACCGAGTCAAGAAAATAAGTGGTCTTTGGATTGCAGTCTGCTACTTGTGGTCATCAAGAGAAGACACAATAACAGTGGCAATGTAATCCAAAGGTATATTGACTCTTTATTTTAAATTTGTAAATACTACAACTGTTGTGAAAACTTCATTTGAAGTTGGAATGGGCAAAAAACACACTCGGGCACATGGTTGGTAACATTGGTCACTTGTGATACCTATAGCATATCAAAGTGTTAGACCAGTTTCTGATAAGTTACTGTGTGGTAGATCACATCTTGCTTTTCTAAATAGAAATTGAAAATAGTGTTTTTGGAACTGTTATATCGAACTTCAATTATTGAGGGTTTTTTATTTGGTTGAGGTTTTTTTTTTTTTTTACAGCTTCATTTTGTTCATGAATTCATCAGGTTAAGCAGTTATCTTTAAATGCCAGTAATTGTTCAAACGCTGGTCTGTAAATAAAACATGACCTTAATATTTTAGAAAATGTAAACTTTGGACCTTTACCAATATATTTTTTTAAAATGTTGCTTCATTTTACATTCAGTAATATTAGTTTGTAAACAAACTATACATTTTGTACCTGTGCAACATCAGAGGATGTGTATTCATTACATTTTATTGGTTCTCTTGAGGAACATGATAAATGACCATTGTTAAAATGTTTTTCTGTATATGATCATAGATATAAAGATAGTAGGTCCAAAATAGGATCTACTTTTTTTTTTTTCTAAATATATTTGTCTTGCTATGTTTTCTTATCTGAAATTGTGTGCACTTCTTCCTAGGTAAGTTGGGGTTGAAAAGAGTGTACAAAACAGGTCTCTTGTGATAAGAGTTCAAAAGTGTAAAATGTGAAGAAAGTAAATTTTCTCAAGGTCTGCTATGAAGAATGCAAGAAGCCATGAGCTTAAATTACAGCAATAAACAATTACGTTAGGGGAAAAAAACCCCACCTTTTAAAAGATTTTAATAATGAATCACTAAAAGAGAATGCCTGGGGAGGTACTGCAATCTCCACTAGTGGTAACATTAAAGAATGGGTTAGAGAAACATCTATTAGGAATGGTTTAAATATGGTTAGTTCTGCCTTGAAGCTGAGGGATAAGCTCCATAACCTGTCAGGAAGATCCTCATTGGGATTTTTTTTTGAAAGTAATAAATTCAAATGGAGCTCACTGGGACAGCAGACACTGGAGTGGAAAGACCGAACTCAAGTGTCACAGTTAAAGAAAATTGCTGCTGACTTTTGAGCACAAGTAATCAGGTTGTGAATTTGAAATTATTATAGAAAAGCAGGCTCACAGTGGAAAGTGTGAGAACATTGTGTGTTACATCAGAGTAGATTCTGCTTTTGTTACAGCTTATAGCTGTAAAAGTTACAGGTGTGAAAGGATGGAGATATCCTTAGCTGTATATATATTCTTGTTAATCTGTTCTAAACTAATCTGTATATTCTGAAGAAATGTTAGCCTATCTATTGTGGGGGTGTGTCTGTGAAGTTCAGGTAAATTTGTCTGCATTTTACAATGCTGCTGCTCCCATCTCTCTCCTGTCTGTGCCAAAAGACACCATGCACAAAAGCAAGTGTTCATCAACTCCAAGCCAATGAGGTTTTCCAGTGTGATAAGCTGTAAGGTATGACCTGTGTTCATTGAAGAATGGGCACTTTTTATTTTTGCTTAGACAAGGATGGCATCTTCTTTTACAGTTTGAGACAGTGGATGAGATTCTGTCCAATTAATGGAAATTCTGCTGTTGGTTCTATTTGGGCCAGACTAGTCTAACATCCCTTAGAAGGTTTTTTTTTTAATTATTATTATTATTTTTTAAGAGAAAAAAGAACAAAAATAACACATTTTGAACTGCGATATCTGCTTAATTTCTCATCCTAATCCTATTATCCATGGATATGCTGCTGATTATTTGGCACAATTCAGTTTGGAAACTAGAAGTTCAGGAAAGAATACCTTTCAGCCCTTCTCCACTACCCAGCCCTTCTTTTACATACTGCTCTTGTCAAGATTTTTTAAAATATTAGAAAATTAAGCAAATCACAATTAAGTGAATACTTGTGGGTTTGGTTTTTTTTTTTTTCTGCTTCAATCTTTTAGAAAGGTTCGGACTTGGTGATCAGAGTTTTAAAGCTTGTTTTATGAAAAGAAATTCCTCATGCTTACTTCAGTAGCAAAAGTTTGAGGTCAGCTTCTATTTGTTCCAGTAAGCTACAGAATGCTAAATACTCCTCAAAATCTTGCCATTTAGGTAGCCAAACTGGAGTTCTTTTGAAGATCAGGCCTCAGTTTTCTAGTACAGAGATTTCTTTCATGATTCCATTAAGTAGGGATACTTAAAATTAATAGACTTTTGTGTGAAATACAGAATAAAATATCAGATTATATCAGAAAGTCTACCCTAAAGTTAGAGTATACTTTTAGTGGCAGATTATCTTTTATAAAGTATTCTATTAATACATACAGCTGTGGTGTTATAGAGAAGATAAAGCATTTATGAAAGAGACTACATCATCTACTATGTGCAACAGATAACTTTTCTGAATGTAAACATTTACAGATAGGTACAGAACAGGATAATTCTGCCTGAACAGTAAAGACAGATCGAAGGAATTTTCATCTTTTTCTGTTAGTCCTTAGATCAGAGTAATGTGCCCAGTCAGCCAGAAATGTGAACATTTCATTAAAAATTCCATTACAGCAGTTGGTCTGTCATTTGTCTTCATATAGATCTAAAACAATTATAGTAACATTCTTATTCATTTCAGAACAGATGGAGGATTTCCATGAATAGACTTGTTAAATACGTGTCGTAAGAGTTGAGACACCTATTCTCAGGAAGTATTTTAAAATATAATGTAAGAAATCTGAAATAACAGAATAGCTAAAAATAGTGATTTATACAGTACTGATATGTTTTCCAGTGTTTTTCTCTCCACTGTCCTTCTATATTATTTTTATTTGCATGCCCTGATCATTGAGGTATTTATAGAACTCTGAAACTTGGTGAACTTCAGTGGTTCCAATATGAACAGCAATGCAACTCTTTAAAATAGAAATAATATTTTTAAATCTGGTTAATAGATATTTTTAAATTTACTGGTATTTTTACTATTTAGTATTTAAGCATCTAATTTTTATAGGTAAACCTGAAAAACATGTGGACTGTATGAATAAAGATGTACTACATCTGATCTGTTTGGTATAGGGATATCAAAAACCATGGCCAAAGCAGAACTTCTGGATACCTGTATCTCAGATTCTTTCTATGATTTTTTTATAAGTCTATAGTTTGAGAGCATGAGTTTGTAAAATGAGTGATACTAACAAGAAATTAGAATTCTTACTGAATCAAAATTCCAAATGTATTTTCTTTTTGATAATACTGAGTCCCTTCAAAGAAGTATAAAGAACAGTACTATGTGCTACACATTAGGCAATAGATAGATCTAAAGTTGTATTTTCATTCAGAAGTAAAATAAATTCATAGATATGATGCATTCAATATAGATCATCTTCATGAAGTCATTAAAACATGAGAGCACCTTTTCTCTTTTTCCACCAAAGCATGAAAGCTTTTATGTTTAGAAAAATGTGTTTTCTGATGTAAAGTCATTCTGTTAAAAACAATAACCAAAACCACCCAAACGCTACAGTGCTTCCACTTACAGTTTTCTGACCTCCTCCCAATGGCCTGTCTATACATGTAAGTAATCTGTATATGCAAGCAACATAGAGTATTTTTATCTTTCAAAATATTCTAAAGACCAAGATTCCCTGCAGCTAAGTTATTATTCTTCACTAATAAAAATCTTTTTTTTACCCCCAGGGTAGAGGGTACCACAAGCAGTGCTTACAGGAACAAAGCACTGTAGTGGCATTGCAAATTGCTCAGACAGGAGAATGGAGTATAGTGGAGCTCCACTGGTGGAGCTTCCACTAGGGTCAGTGAAAGAACAGCCTCACTTTGGAGCACCTTAAGCTATTGTGGAGCTGCCTGCTGAGACAGCAGCTCTGTGTTTTGACTGCCATAGTGAAACTGCAAACTGTTGCTAAAAGGGGTAATCTCATTTTCTCTTTTTCTTTTCCTGTTACCTTTTGCACCTGTTTCTTTCTTGTTTCCTTCAGATTTAGTGGCTTTTGTGGCTTTAAAATAAGCCAGTGAAGTGATGTTACATAAGAAAGCAATTCAATGCTTAAGTGAGTTAGTTTTAAATTGACCTACCTTGTTGAACAAATTCATTAGGTTTGATCCAAAGTGAGTGGCAGGAGCACGTTGCTGGAGTTAGGAGAAGGAATGGAGCAGGGCTTGCCCAACTTTGGCACCATGTTAAATACAAGGTTGTGAAGCACAGCACGTGTTGCACAGTGTTTGTGAGAAGCTGCCAGGCAACAGAAGGGATCAGACACAATTTTCTTGCAGCATCCACTGCTGGTAGTCTTCTGGGATTTTGAAGAGGGTGATCTGTGTGTGTCACTTCTGCTTCTTCAGGAAAATGGAATTGGGGGATTGAAATTGGGGGGAATATTTTTCTCCTTCTCCTTTGTTGTTTAAATTAATCTCCTCCTGTTTGCCTCTTATCCAACAGTTCTGCATAGTCTTGAATGGTGGCAAATGTCTCAAGTTAAAGAGGAAGTGTTCTTAATAGAAGACAATAGGTATTTAGTTCACTGAAGGACAAAACTAGAATCCCAAAAGTATAAAAAAAAAAAAGCATTTTTCAACATAGGTTAATCTTTGCAAGTATTAGAAGTAAGCAGTATTCACTTGATAGTAATTTATATCCGGTGTAAATCTGGTTTAGAGACCATGCTGGGAAAAAAAAAAAAATCACTCCTTTTAGTTAACGCAGATAATATATACCCAAAGTATAGGAATAGATTCTGTATTTCAGCTAGACTGCTTTTATAATGATTTAATTTTCTACCTTTTCAGTTTAGGGTACTGTGGCAAACCTAAAGTTTGATTTTGGCTTATTTTCACCTATAAATATGAATCAGTTTAAAGGCCTGGATATAAAAATTGTAGGTTTTCTTACATTTCCACTTGGTATTTGACATTAATGAGTTTTGAATGTAATTCTTGAGTTGTGTAGCTGAGGCGCCAGAAGGCATTCCTTGTTAAGAGTTGCCTTCTTTCAGTGTAAAGTTCTTCCCTGGAAATGAGTTCTGTTTGCTGATATTTCTCTATGAATTTAGCAAGAATTTTTCTCCCATTTGAAGTAATAGCATTTAAATATTTCCTTTTTACAAGGTGCATTATTACAGCTATTACTGATTTTGATAATTCGCCCAAATTCTCCAGTAATTCTTATAACAAGCATGGCCCCTATATTCTTGCTCTTAAAGTATAAAATAGAACTTATACCAGGATTTGGAGACATAAATTTTGTAATGCTGGTGTAAGGTTTCAGTCTTTAACTTTGCAGGACTGTACAAGAAATCTTATACTCCTGAAAAGCAGTAAGATCTCTTTGACTGCTTGTATTGGAAAGAGTTGATTTTTTAAAACATTTGCATATGTATATTCTATTTGTGTTTCTGGATTTTTTTATCTGAGATCAAATAAGGAAAAATGATTCAACAGTCCATTTGGAAAGTAGGAAGGAGCAGTTCTACCCTTTTTATGTCACAGGAGTTAAAGGTCTTAACATAACTGGGCTTGGTTACAGACTAACAGTTATCTACAACTCTATATAGTAACAATTAAAACTTACAGTTTTAAAGAGCCTGACAGGTTTGCTTATGCTCAAGCTTTGCAATCCAGTCTGCACAAAAAAACCAACCCTGAAATACGTGAGAAATGCTTACTTTAAAATGTCATTGCTGCCATCATAATCAGACGTATGTTAGACACAAATGTTTTAAATGAAGTGAACAATTACCCATTTTAAGAGTCTTAGTCAATGTTTTCGATATGAAGAATAGGTTTCATTTTCCACTTCAATAATTAACTTCTATCCAGATTTCTTGCAGATCTCTCATTGTTTCAAGGATTCAATGGAGTCAGACAGGAGCTCTGATTTGATGGATGTGATAAATTCTACAGGTGTAGGATTGTCCTATTGTAGATACTTTCCAGATGGACATGGATTATGCTCTGAGAATCTTGCTAAAATAATTTAAAGTTTTAGAACTCTACTGTTTTAAATCCTTTCTTTTGTGTCGAAGTTGATGTTTTCAAACTTTATTTAAAATTAATGTATTTATCTTGTTTGTCCACATTGCTTAATCACCATTCTTTTGACTTTATAGGGCAAGTTAGGAAGCTGTATTGTGTATTTACCGTTTGTATTTCATATTGCTGCAATTCAGTATAATTTCCCCATTCTCAGTTCTTGAACAATCTAAGCTATTTAGTAGCACATTCAAATTATGACTTTGATATTTACATTTTACTGACCTTTTTTCTTTTCTTTGAGCATTAAATTAAGCATGTGGTTTAATATTTAGGTTTAATTTTATCAAAATATGTAACTGATTGATTGATACTCTAATGGTATTTTTTTCTAAGCCTGGAAATCTTCAGTCATTCTAAAGTTGACTTTTCTTCTTCTTAGCTCATTGGCTAGCTGTTCTTCCCTGGGTCATAAATGCTTCTCTCCATTTAAGTTCCTTCAAAACTTGAGAAAAAGGCCTAATTTTATGACTTGTATGTCAAGTTAGACACACTAATAAGCTGTGGCATGATCACAGTTTTAAAACAATTTTCATAGATAAAAGAAAGACACAAAAATATTAATTTTTAGTGAAGCGAATGTTTTGCTGATAGGAATACAAAAGGTCTGATGATAAGAATTTCACTTGAAGGAGACTTCCAACTCATCCTATGCATTTTCAGTATGGTGCAGAATGGTATGGCCTGGTCCATGGAGACATGTCAGGAGACAGGTCACATAACAGTGGTTGTGTGTGAGGTCCTTTAAAACCTCTGCGTATCTTTCACAGTGTCTCTGCCAGATCCAAAGTCATTAGCCAAGGACTTGACTGGACTGAATTCCTTGCTGTATAAAAGAATTCCTGTGTGATGGAAAGACTCTAAATTTTGGACTGTGACTCATTCATCTGTCTTGGTGAAGGGACTGACAACCAGCAGAGGTGTGGCAGGTGGGAACAGCGATCACTTTAGCTCCACTGCACAGTTGTGTATGTAGTAATATTTTAGGTGAGTCATTGAATCTTTTATGTAAACCTCCTGAGTTTATCTAGGTCTTAGTTTTTTATTGATTGGCTTTTGTTTTGGGTTCAGCTTCTCTAATTTTGACTCCTATCTATAACAGAAAGATACCAATTTACTTTTTATGGGACTGTTGGAAGATAGTCATTAATGGCTGTGTGCAAGGCATTCAGATGTTGTGAGGGTGGCAATATAATCAGCTAGAAATATTGCCTAGATGGATGTGGGTGTTTTGGAATATCTTTACAGGCTGTGAGAAGTCCTGGGGTGGATGCATCTTTGTGATATTTTAAAGAACCCAAACAAACAAAACAAAAAAAAAAAACGAAACAAAACTGTGTGGCTATTTCTACTAGACTCTGTCTTAAATTTTTTCATATTTGTGAATCACAGCTCTGGACCACTATGTAGTTTATCAGATTAATTAAGAAAAATGAATAGACCAATGAATGAAAATACTGTTGGCTGCACTTATCTTTAATGATATTCAGCTTGTTTGGGTTTTTTTTTTGTTTTTTTTTTTTTTTTTTTTTGGGAAATGTTGTGTGTTCTTGCTTCTAGCTTTCATGGTATCATCTCTTTGGCTGCTGGAAATCTGTGTACCACTATTCTTCTGAAGCACTCATGAAAGGTAACTGGCTTTTTATTTCATTATTTTTTTTCAGGAGAATGGCACTTGTGTCTATTTTTATTTTTCTTTTCTACCCTCTCTGTTTATTCTCTACTTCTGTCTGTTAGAGGTATATTAATCAGAGAGGTATTAAATGTTATATTTCTAAATCTAGGATCCTGACTATTATGATCCCTGATGTACACATTGCAATTTGACATTTCAAATACTCATCTATGTTTAGATATTTCTTGATGACGCCCAGTCACAATTTCCTCTAAACAGCTTCCTTGTAGTTTCAGACGTAATATATTGCATCTTGGCTAGTCAAGATTCTAATGTTAAGCTTAACCATGAGACTACAATGACTGTAATCACTTTTTGAAGACCATTATGGTCTTAGCCAATATAGCAAAAAGACATCAAATAATTCAAGCAGTTTCCTAATCATATTACTTTTTCCTCCCAAAAATCTAGATTTGATTATTAATGTATAAATGTGGGAGGAAATAAAGAAAAAAGGCTCAGAGATAATTAGTTCTCAAAGTTGGGTTTAAAAAAATAATTTTACAAAATATAATACTTTTGAATGCATTTGATGTAAGACATATGAAATCTTTATTATCTCATTATCTTAATTTTATTATAGAATGTGTTAATTTATATTTAGGTGATTCATTCTGAATGATTCTTTTAGAAAAGAGTTTAAAATACTACCTGTAAAATGTTAGTTGTATGTTTTTTTAACAAAACATTGAAATCTTGCACATCACCAGGTGGAAAGGGCTCCTTCCTGAATAGAGATTTACTAAGCTTCTGAACCTATGTGACCAAACAATTGTTCTCAGCTCCATTAGAATAAAGGGCTTGGTTCAGATCTAAATCCACAGAATTATGAATAGCATGGATGATTTAAGGTGACATCAATCAGCATGATTGTTGTAACTGTCTAGAAATGTTAGCTGTCTGTTAAAAAAGTGTTAAAGTCTTTAATGAAGTACTTTATAAGTAAGCCAAGACATCTTCAAAGAAGTATTTGAAGATACATACCAAAGAATTTTTAAGTCTGCTGATGTTATATGGAAATCAGTAATTCCTCACTTAAAGATTAAGAATTTAAATTATATACAAGGCAGGGATTGTATAATTGCTGATAAAAATATATACAGATTTTTAAAAAGTGTTTTTGTGCTTCCTATTTCATACACATTGATGGAACATCTTTAAATATATTGTGTTTAATGATATAATCTCCTTTGTACCAATATGCTTAATTCTCAAGGGATTTTTTTAAATAAGTGGGCATTACTGGTGTTGTTTTCCACTTTTCTGAAGATGAATGAAAAAAAAAAATTAGTAGTGCACTCTTTAGTACTTTATTAACTCCACACTCTTTCTGAGGTGACAGTTCAGTATAGATCTCTGTCCTGTGCAGTTATTTCCGTGCTTTTTTGAATGAATTTGAACTTGTGACCCAATCCGAAATCCAGAAATTATAACAAAAAGAAGCTCAAAAAGCTTTTTGATAACATTTTTTCCTCTAACAGAAAACATTACTTACTGTTAGCTTTTAGTTTGAGCAAGAAAACTGCAAACTCTAGAATAAAGTGCGACTTGTTTATTTATCAGATTAAATAAAGATAGCAGTTAAAGAAAGATATTCATTAGCATTATTGTTATTGAACTGTATTCTTTCACCAGAATGGTGTAGGTTCTGTTTCCACGTTGCATATACCCACCTAGAATTTTGCAGGTTACTTACAGACTTTGATATCACCGAATAATATTTATTGTTTTAAAAATCTTTTAGCAAGCTGCTCCACCATCTCAAAACACAATTCCTAGAAACATCCATGTAATTTGAGACTGTATGTAATAGAAATACATCCAGTAGATTTTCTTTTTGAGAAGTGCTTTAATACCTTATTTTAATGATGGATAACTCTCCATCAAGTATTAAGGGCCAAATAATGGATATATCATAGAAATACCAGTGTAAATTTTCTTGCAGTCTTTTCAGATTATGGATCAATCATGATTTTGTAAAGATTATGGGGTATCCTTCACCTTTCTCTTAAGAATGCTGAATATTACTGACTGCATTTGTTTCTGTATTTTGTGGGGGTTACTTTTACTAGAAATTCTTCTAGTTGAGTTCTTAGGTACCCTGTTAGTTCTCATACTTAAGCTGATGGGGAATAATGATAGATGAGGAAAGGTTAGAATAGAGATTTTTGAAGTCACTTTTTAAAGGCAACACCATTCCTGAGCAACCAGGGGTATGTTTATATTCGTTCATTCTGTTGCCATCTGAGAGAAATGAAACTGATCCCTGAAATATAAGACAGAAGAGGGAAACAAATAGCAATAAAGAAGCTGAAATTGCTAAAGGGCATAGAAGGACTATCCAGAAACTGAATACTAGAAATGGTAAGTGAAGATAAATCTGCAAGGAGTTCCCAATGAGAAATGATGTTACACACTTTTAACAAAAGAAAAAGAAAAAACAAACGAACCAACAACCCACCCCCCCAAAAAAACCCCCCACCTACCCAGATGATTAGTTTAACTTTGACAGTAATGCCACTCTTGAGCTCTTGCTGAAGTATATAAGCAATATTATTTAAGGAGGTCAGTGCTTTTCTGTATCTGTATTTTAAGAATAAGGCCTTATTTTGAGAGTTCAAATATCCCAGGTTAATTGGAGAATTCTTTGTTTGTGAAATGCTTGACTATGAAAAGAATGAAATAAGCTTGTAAGAGTATCTTAGGTTATGAAAATGTGATTGGAAAATATATTGCATATTGCAAACATATACATGCAAAAATTTATGCTTTTTTTTTTCTTTTAATGTACTTTCTTTAATTTGCACTGATAATGTTTTTCAAAATCCCTCTTGCAAGTTAGGTTTAAAGAGGAGAGTTAGTTTTTTTAAAGCTTGTCCCATCTGGCTGTGTTTTTCACTTCTGCTGTAGAAGTTCATGGTCCAAAGGAATCCTGACTATGGGTTATACAAACAAAAGTAAATTAAACCTGAAACTTAAAAGATGGTAGGAAATTTTAAGTAGTCTTTTGCTGTTGACCCTCATTGTCTTTATTGTGTTACTATTCATTATTTTTTATACTGTTTTGCCTTGATGTCATCTTCTATATGCTGAAATATTCATGTTGCTGCTGTTGGGTACAGCTGGGTTAACGGGCCTGTGAAATCAGAGTATAAATTCCTCAGCATCTGAGCTTTTGGAAGCAAAAATGCTGTGACAAACTATGGTGTTGCTGAAGCCTGTTACCAGTGCTGTCGTCTTGCAGTGAAAGCAGCGCACCCCAAAATATCAGGCAGAGGGACTGTTGTCGAGAGGGGTAATTAGGAGCAATTAGCCGGTCTCCCTGCCTGGCAGATCGCTGTTGCTTTCTCCTTTTTGCCCTTACCCCTGCTGCCACTTCAGGGTAAGGAGTCATGGCAGTGATGGTTCCCTGGAAGAGAGAGAGGAGAAGAGAGAGAGAGAGAGAGAGAGAGAGTGTGTGTGTGTGTGTGTGTGTGTGTCCGTGCGGGCGCCCCGGCCCCCTCCCCGCCCCGCCGCATTGTGGAGGGAGGGACCGCGGCCGCCTCCGCCGCCGTGCGCGGCCGGGCGCTGTCCGTGGTGCTGAGCCCGGCGGGACGGGCGCTGTCCGTGGTGCTGAGCCCGGCGGGACGGGCGCTGTCCGAGGTGCTGATCCAGCAGGGCCGGGAGCTGTTCGGGTGCTGATCCCAGCGGGGGCCGGGAGCTGTCCGAGGTGCTGAGCCGTGCTGCCCGGGCGGCACCATGGTTTTCGCTCCAGGTAAGGGCAGCTGCATCCCGATCCCAGGCGGGTAGCCTCGCAGGAAGGCCCCGGCCATGCCGGAGAGCTGCTGCGGGGAGTGGGTAATGGGTGAGGCAGAGCTGCCCGCAGGCAGGTTCAAAGGAGGTGATTTAGCTTGGGATTTCTTTAGCTGTGGATCCAAAGGTTATGAGGGTCACCCCGTGGTTCTCATCAGGGACAGGAGCCTCTTATAGTAGTGTGCAGGGTGCTATGTTTGTCAGACTGCACTAAAGGGTCACAAAGGGGGATGTGGCCTTTCAGTGACTGGAGAGCGAGTCCCCCTCTGCACCCGCACCAGTGGCTGCCAATATGAGCATCCCTGAAACTCATGGAAATAATTTACAAATTTCATTTCCTCTTTCCCCCCCCTCAAAACAAAATAAGTATTTGAATGAAAGAGAACAGAAAGTTTGTTTAGTCCAGTTTTTACTGGAACAAAATTGAAGATTTCACCAGTTCATATCTAATGTGAGATCTCACTGTATGAGAGTGCAGAATTTCTAGTGCATAGTATACTTTTGTGTTAACCCATAAAAGAAGCAAAGCTACAGCAATTTTTATTGGATTTGGTACATTCTGCTGGGAAATAGACAGTTGGTTGTTCAGAAAAGGATAAGAGAGATGAGAGGCCCAGTAGCTCCAGGGTGTAAATGTAAGTAATGCGTAACATCTTCTGTAGGGACATGGCTTGAAAATAACTTCATTAAAGATGTATAACTTTCAGTAAAATAGTGGGTCAATAGAAAAGGAAAAGTAAATGTTGCAACTTGACAATGAATAACTATTAATACCTTTGTTTCGCATGGCTAACAGAAGTTTTATCTTCCTTGAAATTCTATATCCAATCTCTGAAAGGGTAGGAATCTGAAAGCTTTACACTGTCATATAAAAAAAAAAAATTCTTAGGACTGACTTTGCTGCCCAATTCAGTTTAATTTTTTGAAAAAAACCAGTATCTCTTTTCAACAATCCCATTAATTTTGTCTATTTAGCTGTCTGATTGCTCTCTAATTTCATACATTCATATTTACACTGTGTTCTGAAATTGGAAGCAAGTTATTCACTGCTTTTTGTAATACACCTTCAGCATTAGTGGCTCTTTCCTGAACTCCTTTTGTCTGTCACACTGTCAGCATTAACTGTACAAGTTTTTGAAATGCTCTGTGGGACTGGAATACTT